ATATGATACAATTTCTATAATGAATAGTGAAAAACAATTTTCTTACAGCCCTTTACACCTAACGAGGTAATAACATTAATATTGAAAACCACAAGAAAAACTACTCCTGGAATTGATAATATTGACCGCCGGGCACTTAAAGCAGTGGCAGTTGCTTTAGCTGAACCTCTATACTATTTCATAAATATTCAACAAATCAGATTATAGGTCAGTGTGCATACAAAATCAGATTGGCAAAGTTTTAGAGGCAGCTTTTTTAGAAAGATTGACAATATTTCTTGAAAAAAATAATCTATTAACAGATACCTACTCAACATGGTTTCAGGAAAAATAGAGCTACACATAGGTACTGCACTTTCGGTGATAGTGGATTTTATTCATGATGCACTTAATGGGAGGAAGGAGGCTGCTGCACTTTTGTTTGATTTAACTCGTGCATTCGATACGGTTGACCATAACTTGCTGTTAAAGAAGGTTTGGGGAATAAGAGGAGTTGCACATTCATGGATTAGGTCTTATTTGGAGAATCGCACCCAAAGTGTAAGAGAGCAGATCTATAAAAGTTGGGGTTCCTCAATGGTCACTATTAGGACCTATTTTATTTATTATGTTGAGCAATGATTTATCTCTTGCATGTGGTAAATATGGTACAATAGTAAGCTACACGGATGACACAAGCATACTTGTATCGAGTGGCATTGTCAAAAATTTAATTGATAGCTGTAATGTTGAATCTAATCAATTTCATAACTATTGTAAAGTGAATGGACTGCATTTGAACAAAAAGAAAACCTGTTATATCCGTTTACTCCCTAAAAATGCTACAATTGATAACAGTCTGCTTCTACGTCTTGATAACTTGTCAATACGATCGACTGAATGTGTAAAAATATTAGGTTTAATTTTTGATTCTAAATTGAAATGGCATTCTCATATTGATGGCTTAATACAGAAAATCAGCAAAACTTGTTATTTATTCTGATGTTTGCGTAATTTTTTCATGTTCTTCTCATGTTTTAAGACCTGTCTATTTTGCTATGGTTCAATCGCGCCTTACTTACGGTATTTCTTTTTGGGGTAAATCTGCATCCGCAGAAAAAGTATTTAAATTGCGACGATCCTCGTGTAAAGAGATTTTTGTATTATATACCTAACATATTAACAGTTCCTTCATTGTATATTTTGGACTTGGTTACAAATATTAAGACAAAAGTTTGCCAGTTTCCAAGAGTTGGGCAAATACAAAGTAATCACAATTTAAGAAATAATGGAGATTTACAAATGAATTTCTCAAGGTTGGAGATTTGTAAGCAAAATGTAAATTATATAGGTGCTACAATAAAGTCAGAAAAGTGATAAAGGATGACTTAATGAATATTAGTTTATTTAAGAAAAAGGTTCATAGCCATTTAACCAGTAGAGCGTATTATAGCATTGATGAATATTTGTATTCCCAATTTTGACTAGACCTATGTACTGTAGAAGTATTTGTGTCACAATAAACATAAACTTAAACTTAAACTTATGGCCATGTTAAAGAAAACTGTGTTATATTTTTTTTAATGACGTGTTTTGTAAAATCATCTTCCCTTCAGTCGATTATATATCTTAAACTTATACATTATATACCTGCCTCCCGACACTAGCGTTGAAGTTTCCAATGCATTTCTTGAATTTTTGGAGCAAAATTTAGTTAACTGCAATACTATGTTCACTGCAGGTGACTACAGTGTTCCAAAGTATGTCAATATTGGAAAGTTAATTTTACTATCAAATTTATGTCATATCTGGTTCTCTTTGCTTTCTCACCTGACAGTAAAATTTATAACTTTCGAAAGGATTTGGGAATATCATGTGCTGATTGGTCATCCATTTATACTTTAAATGATGTGCATCAAATATGCGACTGGTTTTATAACAAAACTTTACTTAATTCTTAACAAATCCGTCTCTACCTATATAACGGCTACGCACAGTCATACTAAATGGTTTTCTGACGAATTAAAGCAGAAAATTAAACTAAAAAATCACTCTTTCCGCAAGTTAGAAAAAACCAGAAGTGCTTTTCGCTTTCAAAATTTATTGAGTTTCCACGAATCACTAAACCGGTAATTAACAGATACTATAAAGAATACCGTTCAGAAATCCAGCCTAGTTTTTCTTTTAGTCTTAAACACTTTTGGAAATTCATTAGGGACAAAAATATCAAAAAGCTATACCTGGCAAACTTACTTATGGTGATATTGCAATCCCCAAGAAATAATTGATACATTTAGCGAACATTTTCTTTTCTTGAGCTTTTGATACCTCAAATACTACTCAGTCTAATAGTTGGTGGACTCCAAACGACGACAGTGTGATATTGAGAATGTCATAAAAAAATTAAAAACCAACTCTTGCGCTGGACTATATGATATTCCAGCATTCTTCCTTAACGATTGTTCAAACGTAATAATATAACATTGTACTATATTTTCAACAATTGTATGTATAGTGGTATGTTTGCTACAATGTGGAAATCTACTCTCCCCCATACAATGGCGGTGACGTAGCAGTCATAGAAAATTACAGACCAATATCTGTGTTATTTAAGTTTACTAAAATCTTTGAAACTATACTCTAATCCTAGATTTACCCTTTTGTAAAGAATTTCATTAGTATTTACACTTTGACACAAATTTATTTTCTGTAACGCATTTCCTCTCTAAAAAATTAAATGCGAAGAAGCTTTCGATCGCATTATTCATCATCTTCTTCTTTCAAAGTTTTGCTTTTCTAAATTTCTTTTGTTACCATTCCAGTCTTATCTAGTTGACAGAGAACTAGCCGTTGTATTTAGTAGTCATAGACCTCTAAATGATATTCCACTCTCAGGTGTACTCCAGCGATCCAATTTAAGACCACCCTTGTTCCTCATTTACATAAGTGATGTGACTTTTTTGTCATTAACAGCTCTAGATTTGAACTATATGCAGATGATCTAAAATCATACACGACTATTGAAACACATCTTGACTAAATAATATTGTAAAATGATGTTTTCTAAATGGACTGCCGTTAAACATCAAAATGCATTATGGTTTCAGTCACTAGAAAGCAGTTTATACTGTCCTGTTAGGAGATCTAAACTTGAATTCTTTCCTTGTTGATAATTCCCTTTCATTTGAAAAAAAATTCTTAGAAAATGCTCAACGTAGGTTCCTCAAATTTCTGTGCTATCAGCAACATAATCATTACCCTATTCGGAACTACGGTCAAAAATTACTACTTTACTAAAACATTACTAAATTACTACTAGATTCATTGAACATAAAAGGGTTCTATGGTTGTCTTATATAAACTTACTCATGGTTAAAGAGCGGATTCTAGGGCAAATGCTTTTTCATTTTGGATATAGACAAATGCATGAAAGTTGTATATAAATGTGTCTCACAAAATCCTTTTATTTGAGCCCTGCTTGTTTTTGGTTATTTGCCTATTTTTAATCATGAGTGCCTTTTTTGCATTTTTTCGACCTAGTTTACATTTTTTCTGCCTATTTTCAATATTTCCGGTACTATAAAGAAATATAATCCAATACATGAGATCGGGTAAAAGGGTCGGGGGAATTTTGTTAGAAAAATGGCGACAATTTTTTTTTATTTTCTATTTTTCTGCGTAAACCATAATAGAAAAAAAATTATTGCACAGTTTAGTACGTAGGTATGTTTTAAAATAATTAAAACACCCATTTACAGACCCCAAAAACACAAGTGTTAATTACACCTAGCCCTCCGACAACTTTCTTTTCGAGTTCTCTTCCTGTATTAATTAGTTCGTGTTGGGTGTTCATAAAATGAAGTTCAAAAGTGTAGCATTCATCTAGCATTTTGTGCCATTTTTAAAAACACCCAATGTCAAATCGTCTTTAAAGAACAACTTAAGGGAGCGGACGAAAAACAAAGATAAATAAAAAAACACCGAATTGATAAATTATTATTAATGTAGCACAATTCGAATGGGAAAATTAGGTGTGAAATTAATTCCAAATAAATACAATGTGTTGTAAATTTCATGCCAAAATAAGTCCCATATTCTTCAACATGATGAAAATACAATTAGAATTAGAGCAAATTTGCAATTCTGCTGTGTGTTAATTAAGTAATCTCATGTAATCCGAACTTAAATTTTGTCTGTGATCCAATTTCTGAAAGGATAATCTTAATTCAAATATAATAATATCAAATCTATCACGAAATCAAATATGAAAAACTGAAACGTGACGTAAAGAAAGTTTTCTTAAATTTCCTTTGAAGATCCAAGCCTTCTGGGAAGTCTTACCGGATTGTCCATTGCCACCAGAACCTGCTCTAACAAGATAGGGTTCATGGATTGAAACGGCAATATATTATTGAGATCATTTTGACAACAAATCGTGTGATGTTGGGAGATCCATTTCTAGGTAAAAAAATGTCCTAATAGACAAAAATATGTAATTCGTTATGCAAATTTTAACGAAAATTAGGGCTCATTTTGGCTTTTTTAGCCAAAAATCCGCTCTTTGCTAATGTTTGTTCATCTAATTTTAAGTCTGCGGAATTTTTCGCACAATTTTTTTAAAGTTCTTACAATAATGAAGATTTCCAGGCACACCTTCCCCAACACTGTTTTAACAAATTCTTCAATAACTATTTCCACACAGATTGTTAAAATACCTGAAGAAATGGATCATAAAGTAATGCTCAGTCTTGAAGAACACATCTCTCAATAAATAGAATAAATACTACAAGAGTGTAACAGGAGATCAAAATTCATAGCATGCACTTCTTTTAGATTTAATTTCATTACCACACCGCTTTTCCTCTCCGACCCGCTGAATAGATCACAATCTGATAAACACAGTCAAGAAAATTTTCCACATTCAAGTCCACAAAAGAAAACTCACTGTAGTAAATAATTTTACTCTCAGCATTCTACTCCCCATCACTTTAATTAATATTTTCCCCAATGCTACCACTTACCGCTATGAGACTCGACGAGAGACTCCCTTTATTATCCTTTGAACCGAAGTGCTCAATCACCTGCCAATTACTCTTCCTGGTGCTCTCGCCTGCGGCCGCAGGAAGGGGGCTCGTGTTGGCTGTCGAAGGAGTCGAGAGGCCGCTGCTGTTTCCCGTCTCTGTCAGGGGTTCCGTGCATGATCGTGGGTGTTGCTTCAAGCTGGTCCAACGACGTCCACAACCTCGACGCACAGTGCTGGTATCCTTAAAGAAAATTAAGGAAATGAGATTGCGCTTGACATGAAGTTGCAGATCGCGTTTTCAACAAAGACGGAACTTTATTTGTGCAGAGTTGAATTAAAATTTAGGGTGGAGTAGAGGATGCTTTGAATGCTTGCAGAGGAATCATTATATTGAAGAGCAACTTTTAAAAAGTTAAGAGTAGTTGGTTATGTTGTCTGGTAAACTGGAAGCTGAGCTAAATTCTGGCTTGTAGATTTATCTTTTAATAGAATTAAGATAAATTAACGATATAATTAAACCATTAGAAGTAAAATTTTTAAAAATCCAAAAAATGGTCACTGAAATATTTTCTAGTACCGCTTCTACAGCGAAAAATTCTTAAATTTTTGATTTTGGAAAGTTTTCGATGCACAAAAATGCTTCGTATCCTGTAATGTCGGTTGCCTATTTATGACGGATTAATGCTTATTTCGGGCAGGAATTTGGACATCGTCTTCAGAGGATCCCTGTATTTCAGTCCAAGACTCTTTTTGTGAAGATTATTTGCTTTTATTGATTTCTACATATTATGAATTTCAACATCCCGTCCGTCAGAGAAGTCCATTTCCAGATCTTCCTCAGAAACGTTATTTTAGAGTCGTAGATAAAACATCGTATTCAACTCGCACATAATGGACATTATTCACTAGGATAATTTACACACTCGCCTTCAGCTCATTATGTAAACTTCATCCTCTTGAATAATAGCCTACATTATGTGTTCATTGAATAATATACTATTATACACCAAGCGAGCTAAGCAGATTTGGTTGTATACAATATTGTTACAAAATAAACCCATATGCCGCCCCGGTACGACGCTTATGAGTTTTCTAGTATGTGTGGCGATGATGGGCGACTCATCGTCGGTGACGGCGGCCGGACGACGTTCGCTAAAGAAAAGCTTGGAAGCGGAAGTCGCGATGGGGGTTCCAGAACAAGCCTAGAAACGGTGGCGGAGACTTTTGGAGAAGGGCCGCAATGGAAGAAGTAGAGTCTGGTTAAATCGATTCCAGTCGAGTCGGAATTATTCTATACACAATTGCTTTGTAATTAGTCGTGTAAATTCGAGTTACTAAGAAATAAATTGTTGAGTTTTACCCACGCTAATTTTAATTACCGATCAACGTAACAATATTTTTTTACTGTAAATTCGTTTTTCTCTACCAAAGTTAATAATGATAATTACATTTGACTATAGTCTTTGTCTGTGATTTGCTGTTATTGTTACGAAAGCGTCAAAAGCACAAAATTTTTAATAAAGCTGTACACAAAATATTTTTCAAAAGATAATTGGACATATACTTTAACGCTACAAATTGAATTTCTGTATTTAACTTGCTAAAGTTTGACGTCTTGTCAGTTTTGAGTGTTTTTAATCAACGAACTTACTGACGTGGAAAATTCAAATCAAATAATAATTCCAAGTGGCTCACTCAACTTCGGTCTGAATTATATAATTGGCATACTTTGTTGAAGCTGGAGGAGTAAATATTCATCGTGATTACTATCGATCAGTAATTATTAATTAAATATATTTCACGAAAAATTTAAAGCAGGCACGAAGCGTAAAATTTCCCTGATGAATAAAGATGCTGAAACGTAATTATTACATTTTTGCGTTGAAATAAATGTGTGTAAAATTTGCATTTCTACGCCTAGTCAATTACATGGAATTTTTTTATGCTATGAATTTTGTAATTGCGCGGTATTTTGACGACTTTGTTAAGCCGTTTTGATGAAGTTGGTGGTGTAAAGTGGGAGTAACATTTAAATTTTAAGGTTTACGGCGATTTTATTGCTATGATAACTTATATCTTGAAATCCTTTTTGAGCTTCACGTCAAGTCCTATCTATCATAACACAGGTAAATTGAACAGTTATTTTTTATGGATTCATTTTTCGCACTTTTTAGTTACGTTTTTCAACAAGAAATTTCGGTAAGTTTGTAACTTTAGTTTATATACTTAGTAGATGTGTGATACTTTTCTATTTCTGGTCTCCCATGTCACGTCATTTGCTTGAGTTAGGTTTCTTCGCTTTCCCATCACGTAGTTCGAAGTGTTATTTTTTATCAAAGTAGCGTCCGTCTGAATTTTCCTTATTTTATAGTTGTCCCTTTTACACATTCTCCTACGCCAACAAAATTTTCTAAATTAAGGTAAATAAAACTTATCAATACATTTTATTGATTGGTTAATTTCTCTGTATTTATGTATAAAAATTATTTGAAATTAAATATAAATTGTTATACACACCACTGGTAGTATTTCTTGACCTAATAATAATTGAACGATAATTATTATTCAATGGATGACACAAAACGACTAGGATTAAGAAACAAAAAAGAGGCGCACTGATAAGCAACGTGAAAAAATACGATAAGGAGCAGTCATGTATCAGTTGGTTGCCGACGTATGTTCGGTTAACGTCTTTGAAAGAGTACTGCAAGCTGAAGAACAAATTTTGGAACGCGTCGAAGAAGAGCCCGACGTTAAAATAGCGTTTAAATAAATTTTAATACCTAAAGGAAAATGTTCGGTGTTTTCTAATTTTAAATTTTCCATACAAAAATCATCATTTTATTTAAACATTTAAAAATATTGTGTATAACGAGCCTCCTGCAAATGATTTTTCAATAACAGTTGGATAAGCTTAAATATTAAACATTTTTGTTATAATTACATAAAAAATAAACTAATATTTGATATTTACAATTGCATTAATGTTAAAAGTAAAACCTCATACAAAGAAAATTATTTAATTAAATTTGCTTTGTGTATTAAACAATGAACATGTTACTTTGTAAATCCAGATTAAAGCAAAAACATTTTCTAAAGTATTTCCTGCATTTCAGTTAATTTAACATTACAATTTAAAAACAGAATCTGTTTGCTGTGAATCTATGAATAATTAACAAACCAACTAAGAAGTTAACTAAATTTTACACAGTATTACGCTTAAATACCTCACTGAACACACAAAGATAGTTCTAAGCTCCAATGTTATAAGTTGTTATCGAATATCAAGGGAAACGGGTTTATGGGTGCATAGAGAATCGTTAGTAAATATAAAAAATAATACAGATTAAAAAACTATATACTACTAAGAAAGCTACAAATAAATTCATCGAGTTCGAATTGAGACGAAGTGACTTCAAACTTATCACACTGAATCACTGAATTTTTCAGCTCGCTTTCAGGTCCTAAACCGTGGAGATTTCACACCATTTTTTACTTATACATAGTGATTTTTTGTTACAAGAAACGTAGGAGTGGCATCATTCTCAAGTATTAAATACTTCAAGTTAGGAAGGATACAACTTTGTGTCCAAAAATGCGATCCTGTTTCAGAAATAATTAAATCTTTTTTTCAAACGGCCAGGTCACTCACCTTCCGCTTTCCCGTCTGACTTAATAAAAATTAAATCGTGTTCTCAAGAAATATCCGATAAAAATTCAAGCCTCTTAGGGTTCATGTTTTATGTAGAAGCGAAGTTGATTCGGGTTGATTTTGACAGTTTGAAAATTACTTTATAGAGAAACATATTATAACTTCAATTTCTTTTAGATACAGTTTATGAAGCGCACGACAAATTTAAATTGAAACCACACAAAAAAAATAAAAACACACACATTTGGGGAAAAAATTGTGGACACATTTGTTTTCATGATTACGCTTGACATAAAAGTAACTATTTATAATTTATAAAATAAACAGTAAGTAATTTAAAAATGTTTGCGTTGTGCTCAAAACGCGAATATACAGGGCACGTTTTTCACGATTTTTCATTTGTCGTCTCGTCTCTCGCTTAAAGCGCCGTCAAACGATTACGTCTACACACAGGCACAGAAGATTATGAAAAAGTAGTTAAGGAAACGTATTGTTCATTACGTCCCTTAAGCGAGAACATTTTCATCTTGCGCTTTTTGCTGTCCTTTGATGTAATGCGACTTCAGCTTAAAATTTAATTACACAAAAGACAGCAAAGATTGTGAAAGTAGTTCCACGAGACAAATTTTAACACCTCATTTAATTATACACAAAAGGGCGAAGAAGGGATTTGTAGTAGCATACAGAAACAAAGGTAAATTTCGACTTCTTCGCACAAATTAAATCGTAGACCATCGTTCAATGTCAGCTCACTCGGGACAATGAAGACGAGTTCTTTACGTTCAATCAAATCGCGGGGAGTGAAATATTAAGACACGGACTTCGTGCTGTCATCGTGTCATGTCGCAGTCTATCCGTCAGGGAAATCGTTAGCAAGATCAATGTTGCTATAAATAGGTGAAAATAAAAAATATGAGTCAGCGAGGACATAATATGTTCGGTATGAAAAGTGGAGGTTACGAAAAAATATATTTTAATATTATAAAATTCATTGTGGTTTATGTATTCGCCTTGAGTTTTATTCACAATTAATTTACAAAAATGTTGCACGAGTTCACTGCATGTTTCTTATAATAATATTGTAATTTGTAATATATAACTTTAGACTAATTTTTTTCTTACATTGTGATTGGTATGCTCAATATTTTTAACGTATACTTAAGACCAAGAAAACTTGACCATACAAAGCAAAAATTTAACAACATGTCGACAACTTAAATCTACCCTAGACCACCACCAGTCAAGCTGGCCAAGGCAGCTGATGATATTCCTGGTTGATGTATTCCTTCTGCAAGAGGTACACTAACGTCCACTGATATAACAAAAGGTCGGTAGCCGTTTTCATCCGCCACGTAACCTATGTTTCGAATGACAAGTGCACGATCTTCATTGTAGTATCGCTCAAAGTATTGGCCTCTAACAACCTGAATTTCATTTTCTGTACCTGCATTTTTCAGTTCACCAATTTCGAAACGTACTAAATCGAATGTATGAAACCTAAGAGTCGTTAATTTACAGAAACAAATTCGAACCAGCACCTTACATAAACTTATAATTTCCGGAACCATTATTGTTCAAGGTGAAGGAAA